CTTCATTTCTTGTCTATTTCTAAAAAGTATCAATTCAACTTTGGTTTCTTCACTTCCAACAATTCCATGAAGTATCAATTCAAGCAATGAGAAATGATATTGTTCTGGAACGTTTTGTTTCCTTTTCATTACCTTTCCTTCTCTATTTAAAACATAAAGACGTTCCAGTAAATTATCCACATCTGTTTTGCCATTACTATGACAATAATGAGATTCAACAGTAGAAATGGTGCTTTGTTTCAGAAAGATTTCTACTGATTTCTCTTTGTATATAACAATAGCATAATCAAAGCTTGGGAAAGTCTCAGATTCTGGAATGAATAGTACTCCTGTTCCACGCAAATAGTTTCTTCGATTGAGGGAATGTAAATCCTTTAGATCCAAACTTGCATGTTCGTTAACTTCATATGATAAGGTGGATGTTGTGGTTGTACTCAACTTGTTCGTTACATAGAATTTCCAGTCCATACTCTCGTCTTAACAAGAATTTTTCAAACAGTGCTCTCCTTTCTGTGAAACAGAAATATTCTTGGGTATGTGTGGCATGTCAACTTTGGTGCAGTAGTATATTATTAATGATCCAGAATCTCCCGTTTAGAATAAGAAACGGCCTGAATCCCGTTCATCCCGTTGCCCGTCTCACCGTTTATTTGTATCAACTCACTGGATCATCATGTACTTCACCAAATCAAAAAGTTTCTTCTAGTAGTACTATTTAAATTGATAATAAACATCATATTTATTATAATATATTCCTTTTCTTTTGTGTTGGTCAAGTTCTGGTTGGGTTGACTAAGAATTGGTTATTTACTCGCCCAAATTAAATTTCCAAATCATGCAACTTTCCCATGTATTAGTAAATATCAAATTAATAATAAATTTCACTTTTTTTTTAATTTTTTATATAAGAGGCATTCCTTAACACTCTTTTTTTCCCTTAATTCTAAATAACTCTTGGATCAGATGACGAAACCTGAATTTTTTGAATAATTATGGATATATATAAATAATGACAATGCTACTAACTGTAATTGACATGTTTTATTATTTGCGAATAAACTTGAAACAAATCTATTCAAAGATTTGCTAATTTGTTAGTTGAAGTTACAAAATCAAACAATGAAACTTGACCTGGTAACATATATGAATGCACACATCGAGTGGGGAAAGTTTCATGAAATAAAAATGTGAAATTTGATCTTGGGAATGAAATCGTTAAGAACAAGTAGATTAAATCCAACAACAAATGGAATAGCCTATTTTATTCAATTCATATTAGAACAATTTTAGAATGTTACTGTGTTATTGAGCTTAATATCCATTCTTAATTCCGTTTCTTACTTCAGACTGCCCCGTTGGACAGTTTCTTACTTGAGGCGGATTCCGTGAGACTCTGTGTTCCGTCACTCCGTTTCTTAGTATTCACTCAATAATATAAAGGTTTTGATCAGAATCCTTGAATAGTAAACCCATATCGTATACATTTCCTGAAACAGTGCAAGGCCTTCCATCGAAAAGACCCAGAGTAAAAAGATCTTCAAGTGTTTTTAAAAACTCATCATTCTCCTCTTTGTCCATTTTGTTAACTAATGAGCGCAATCTAGAAGCATATTCTCCCTGTCTTACTGTGATAAAATGATTGATATCTTCATCAGTACCCTTTTTACCTTTCAAATGGTCAGTCAAGTATTTCAACTCTCTTGGAATTCTTCCTGTTACATGGGCTATTCTTTTATCCTTTGGGTTCAAACCCACAGCTGAAACAAGTTGTTCAAACTCTGTCGTTGTTGGAGGAGTGATTCTAACTACCCTTCCTCTTTCTCCTCCTGGTAAATGGTCTTCGAAGGAGCTATGAGCACTTCCACAATAGATAGTAACTGTATAATTCCCTGATGTAACTCCTGTCCATCTGATAAAATCTTGAAAATAAGCAAAAGAAGCAGGAATCTTATTGTAATAGTCAGGTCTGAATAATTCATTATGTTCATCAAACAAATAGAACATAGAT